AAGAAGTGTAAGCTATCGGTGTAACTAAAAATAGAATTTATTGTGTAATTTGGTTTGTGTGCTGTCCAGACGTGACACTATCTAAATACTAATAAAATAATAAATACTCATATGGGCTAATTTGTTTTATCTCAATTGTTATCAATCATTATTCACATAATGCTGGTTCCAGGAAGATATATTCACTATATATTAAAAATATAATAAAAATTTATAAGGTACCTGGGTATAAAGATAAAATCATGATTTAAGAAATAATATTTATTGTTGAACAAATGTTTGTATTATTATAAAAAGTAATTAAACCTGTAGATATTATTTAGATATTTATGGATCTATTGGTTACATGCTGAGGATTCCTTTTTTTTCGATGATAAATAGTACGCAGTATGCAATCGACGCAGTACAGATTACTTAAATTTATTGAAATTTTTAAAATGTAAATATAAAATATAATAAAGGCCATGATATAAAAGATTTAGTTTTACAATGAACATTCTTATTTTATGATAATTTATCTCAAACTCTTTGTTCTCATTCAGGAAGATGAACGAAGTCTCTGCATTTCTAGCTACCAGATCAATTAGGAAAAGGTATACAATTTTTCATTCTTATAATATTCATTCTTTTGAAAAAAGATATTATGTTCGTCTGAATGAATCCAGTAAATTCTATAATAATTGATAAAAATGTTGTATTTTCAATTATAATATTGAGTTTTAATTTTTTTTAAATATTCTTTAGTCAATAAAAATCCTCTCACGGTATCTCAAGAGAGGTTTGTTTATGAATTTATAGTAAAAAATGGATACAAGTGGGTGGAATTATCCCAGGAGTTAAAAACTGGTCATACTCCTAATATGATTAAGAACATGTGGCATCAACGAATTTCAAGTAACTTATTTTTAAATTATATAATTATTTTTTAATTAGTAATTATTCCCAATTATTAATATTTTTATTATCAAAAATAGAAAAATATAAATTTAGCATCAACTTCATCTGTAATTAAGAATACAAAAGTTTATCACCCTCTGAACATCGGTACTCGGTAAAATCTTTCACTAAGATAATAATTGCAGTTACAGTTCGATTACAATTTTTTCTATTCAAGGATGTCAAGTTAGACAGTGATGACAAATGACTTGAAGACCTTGATCATTTCAATTCAAATTTCAAATGAATTTAATTTAACCAATCATAATTTATTTAATTCGAATAAAATATATTATTTATTTAGAAAATGAAATTATGATAAGAAAAAAATGAATTTACTGCGTATAAAAACATATATTAGAAAAAAAAATACGCTACCTTGTTTTTTGAAGTTCATTATCTGATTTCTTGGTTGTCTTTTTTCTTTATATTTTATATGACTATTTCATAAATGCTTCATTTTCTTGCAATCAGAAATCCCTTATCATCATTTGTTGTTATTTCTACAATTTATTAAATTTTCCCAAACACGCTCTTTCCAATCGGAAGGAATCTCTCTGCAGTTTTCATATATGGTCTCGAATTTATAATATTTAACTTTTGATGGAATCATTTTTATGGGTTTGAAATATGCTCATATTAGATTCTGTGTAAGTTCTCGTACAATTCTGTTGCCTTCTCTCGTATGTCATCTTTAATATGTACTTTATTCTTGTCTTTCTCAAGTATGGTCCGATTCGTTACTCTTTAGAATCAGAAAAGCTATTGAGACTGGTATATAATTTGTAGATAGTCAACATAATAGTAGATATTGATAAAATCATTGAAACCAGAAAAAAATCTTGTAAATCTGCATCATATCAATTATTCGGTTTCTAGAACAATAGAACAACCCTACAGAATTTATCAACTGGGTATCAAATCACAGGTTCATCATTATGCCTTTCAAAGAACATACAAAAATAAACAAAACGTGACTTATGCTAAACATGCATATAATAAACTTTTTTCTTCATGGAATTTATTTTTTTTTCTTGCTCACGAAACCAATTCCTTTTAAATATTTTCTAATTTGATCTATCGAAAAATATTTATTTTGCAATAATATATTTATTTAAATAATATAATTATTTAAATAATATTCATTGTAAGTCAAAAAAAAATAAAAATAATAATAAAATTATTATTATTTATTTATTAAAAATTATTTTCTCGAGAGAAAATTAATGAAATTCTTTAATTGCAAGAATATTTATGTTACTTCAATTTGATAATAGTCATTTAATTTCATAGTAAACCCAAAAAATATTTGTAAATTATTTACCGAGATTAATAAATTTTTGGTGAAGAATTTTAGTTAAGTTGATAAAAAAACATTTTTTTTTAAACACCGTAATGAAAAGTAATAAGAATAACAAGAATAACAAAAATAAACAAACACAAACTAACAAACGAAAGAGCACCAAAAAGCCTACCAGGTACAAAATTAGGTTTCTATTATTTTTGTATGTTTTAAATGAAAAGGAATAATAAAAGTTAGATAAATCTTCAAATTCCGATTAGGTCAACGACTGCTAAAAGTTCCAGTCGAGTAGAAAACGAACAACAAGTCGGATGTCCCAAAAATGGATCAGTTATTGATGGAATAATTGATATATGCGTTCATAATAATGAAGAATATGCGCTGGTGACGTATGCTGGTAAGGAATTTATAGAAAAAAATTTTCGAGAGAACGAATTGACCCAAAGGTTAAAAAAATAACGATCTTGAAATGATAGATAAAAATTTTGATCCCAAATGGCATCCAACAAGAAATTTAATTAATGCCGACCATTTGGTGGAAGAATATCGAAGGATTGAGGAAAGTGCTGCTCGACGTGCAGCACAAAGAAATCATCAGGTATATTTAATTTGAAATTCACAAATGTTGTGTGTATGCGATAATTTTTGATAAATATTTTAATTATATTTGATTGTGTCAACTTTAAAATAACTTTATATTTTTTTTTAGGAGGATGAATTATCATCAGCACATAGAAGGTTGCAAGCTCAGAAACAAGAAATTTTCGGCCCAAACAAATTTCTCACCGATGACCTTGATGACCAAGGTAAACTTGTGGAGAGGTCATCACCTATCGATGAATCTTTACATGCGGATTCAAATAATTACATAAATTCATTTTCTTCCCATGAAGAAAATTTAAATAATAATAACAGTAACAATAATAATTATTTAATAACGGACAAAAAAAAAAGTATAAAAAATAAGTACAAAGGTAAAATGAAACAATGTGGAAGTGATGGGGAAGTTCATGTTGACAGTAGTTCGTCATATGATCTAAATGATGGTGAGGATGATGAGGATTACAATCCATCAGATAGTGATTATGATGCATGGGAATTACCAGGTATGAAATTATATAATATTTGGCAAAAAAAAAAAAAAAATTGATTAAAAATTATAGATTATATATATATATATCTAATAATATTATATTTTCAGAATCACCTAAACCGAGAAAATCCCCCAAAAAAAGATGTCAAAAAAGAGGAAAATCATTAATCGTAAATACTAGTGAAAGAAAAAAAACCAAATTAACAAATAATAATAATAAGAGTTTTGTGAGTATTCAAGTTACCACCGACAAACAGACTACTCCCACCTCTTTAAAATCTAAATCTCCAACTAATGCTATCAGAAAAAATTTTTCTGATATAATCGTAGAGATAAAGAAGTAAGTACCATTTATAAAAAAAACTTTTTGTATAAGAAATTAAGGTATTTTTGTTAAATTACGTATTACAATTATTGTAATTTAGGGAGCCAGGTATAGACGATCTACCGGAAAATTTATTTCAATCAAGTCTCGAAAGAGGATCTTATAGTAAAAAGAAAAATACTTATGATGAACAATTTGGATTATTAAATAATGAAGAAAATGAGTCTAGTTCATTTAAACCTTCTCTCGATACATGGCAGAATAAACCAAAAAGGTTTAAAGCAGTACATTATCCATCAAACTCTTTAAAATTTAATTCGGATATTCCAGATGTTCCCGTGAAGCTGGAGGAAGAGGATGATGATAAATTCATGTTTACCCATAAAATAACAAAGAATCAAAATAAATTTAGAGTTTTGACAAATAAACAGAACCAAGAACAAAGAGGACATATGGAATCAATTTCAGAACAAAATGTCACTTCCATACAATCTGAACTTGGATTAGTTTCATCTAAAATCTCATTTGATTTTTCAACTGGATTAGAAGTAACAACATCTCAACAAACAAAATCCGTAAATCTAAATGATGATACAAAACAAATACAACCATTAATGGAGAAATCTAATGAACTATATCAAAAGCAATTAAAAAAACAACCCGAGAGAAAACCCGATCTTAAAATAATCTCCACAAATCTTTCATTTGATACAAATTCCATCACCAATTTAAATAGAAATGATATTACAACACAATCATCAATTAATGAATCTCATGTATCATTAAAATCTGAGCCACCTCAAACCCCGTGAGTGACAAAAATTTCTATAAATGTTGTTTTTACAAGTTATCGAAATAATAATAATAATAATAATAATAATAATAATTCTACATCCATTTTTTCTCTCTTTTTAGAAACGGAGCAACACAATGGGTTGGTGTATTGTTAAAAGGAAATTCTCATTATGTTCACATCAGCAGAAATGTAATAGTTAAGCCTATGGGAGTAAGATGTAAAGATACTTCGACATTGTAAGTCCATTTTATATTTATATACATATATATTATATATATGATTTTAAAAAAAACTTCTGGTTTCGTTTAATTGTAGGGAAATGATATCGGCACATCGAGAATTGCAATTAAAATTCATGTTACCACAAGCTTACGCAGAAAAATTGGTAGACGCAGATGATCCATTTAAATATCCGATGTTTAGCATGAATGCTTTAGAAGGTCATTTGATGTCAAAAAAGAATATTGAAGACGAAAATACTTTGATGAAGTGGAACGAAATAGTAAGAGAATTTTTGATTTTTCTTTTCTTTTCTTAAAATTTTTTTTTAATTAATTAATTAATTAAAATGTTAAAATTATTAAAAAATTTACCAAAATTCAGACAGGAGTAATTTGGCTCGATAATAAGGGAGAGATGTGTTGGCTTGTTTTTCCCAATTCTCAACGCACGTGTACAACCCTTGCAATTTCACCTCGACCACAAGAGAAATTTATTATTATCACGAAACGTTTTTCCTTAAAAGATCAAACCTTTCAAACCTTAACTCAATTACCACCCGTTGATCAACTTCAAAGTCCTATGGGATCTCGATATTTCAATTTCAATAATAAAATAAGTTACACGACACAATTGGTGATTCAATCAAATGATTATTATGCGTTACCCCAAATTTGCAAGAATTATTCAAATTTCGCAATATTTGGACCAAAAGAAAATTTCGAAGTAAAGGAAATGATTGATGCTTGTAAAGACTTGGGTGGAAATTATGTTCAGGAATTTCTCGGGGATGATATTAAATTGTATGATATAAATTTAGTACTAGTAAGTCGGTTTTTTTTTTTTAATATATCTTGATATTTGATAAAATATTATCATCATATGCATAAGTTAACGAAATTTAATAATAATTGATTCTTTAAATTGTGAATAATAGATTCACGTTCAATTTCTCAATCAAATTAATTACATCCCTCGTCTAATTGAATTAAAACGTAAATCATATTGTAAATTTCATTTATTTGGTTGGGATTTATCATCACCGAATCCCATAAATCTAGAAGAATATTTTCCTAATGGTAATGCCTTCACCTTTTTTTTTTCTATCGTTTTATTTTATTTATTTTATTTGTTTCCGTTTTATTTATTTATTTATTTTTTAAACAAAAATTTTAAAGGTTGCATAGTTACAATCACTCCCAAATTATTATTGTCTTGGGGTGGGGATGTAATTAAACGAATCTGTGACATCAATTGTTATGTAATTATTATCTTGTTGGTTCTTTTCTTTATTAATTATTTTCGATCTTTGACATTTTTTATTATTATTAAATCTCGTTATTAATATATATTTTTATTTATTTTGAATAGCAACATACAATCAAAGGTGGCGAATGGTATATTAAAATCCACCCACTTTTACGAAATTATTTAGAACACACTTTTAACAAATATCAGAATCAAGAGTAAGTTTATATGTAAAAAAATATTTATGTACGATTATTTCTTATCTGTATTTATAATATTGGATTCGTCATCTCTTTTATATACGTATATTAGCGCTGATGAGGCGTTATCATATTTGGAAGATCATTTTCGAAAAAAATCATTCACATTTTTTGATAACGAAGAATTAAATTTCTTACAGGTATTTCTTTTTATATATTATTATTCACGTTATAAAGTTTTCATGATTTTTTTTTTCATTATTACAGAATCTTATTTCATAAATAAAAAATAATTTTATTTAATGAATTGACAGGGTTCCGTGTGTGACGAATCACCATTCATTAACAAATTGCATTACATGATGACTCGTTATCATAACTTACATACAAAAGATCTTCGACACGTAATAGTTATTCAAGATGAGTCTGAGGTTGATATCCTATGTCTTCCAATTCAGGGGGTTCGTATTATCACCATTTTTTTTATTATCTTTATTTTAACGAATATAATTGTGATAATTAAAGTTTCTATTTTTTTATATATATAAATAATATAGGTCGAAAGAATGACTCTTCCTGAATTCCAAACGATTTTCGGCCCTCCAAAGTAAAAAAAAAAAATTTAAGATATCTATTTTTATTGATATAGATATATATCTCTTAAATTATAAATGTATAAAATATACAAGAATGGCAAGATTCCCGTTTCATTATTTTTACATACGTTAAATAATAATAATAGAAAAAATTGTAGATAAATTAAATTAAAATAAAAATTAAAATATTTAAGAGGGAGGGTGTGTATAATTTCGGAGGGACGAAAGTTTTTTTTTTTTTTAATTATGTAGTTTTAATATGTATGTAATTTTAATATAATGAAAAAAAAAACAATAAAGTTTAGAAATATGTTTTTAAAAAGATTAGAAAATTTATTTTCAACACAAATGACTGGCTCAATAAACAATTTATTTTAGTTTTCTCTATATCTATAGATGTTGACTTAATTGTTTTTATATTTGCTGGAAATATAATTGCCGGAAATAATTTCAGCTGCATATTTTCGGCTGCCTTAATTATATTCGGGTGCCTTCATTATTTTCAGTTGCCATAATTATTTTTGGTTGCCGTAATTATTATTTGTTGCAATAAAAGTTTCAAAAATTTTTTGTGCGTTTTTTTACATTTTTTTTTTGAATTTGCTCGTGATTTATGAAACATGCAGCAATTTTCTACTAAGGTATTTCTACGATAGATCGAAAGGTCTTATTCTTGGCTACAAAATGGTATATGTTTCAACTCTGTAGTATCGATATTCACCGAGTTATTACAGTTGAGACCAAAAAAACCTCCACGATAGTTTACTTTAAACTGTAATAAATCGATAAATAACAATAATACAGAGATGAAACACATACCATTTTGTAGCCAAGAACAAGGTCTTTCGATCTATAATAGAAATATCTTAGTAGAAAATCGCTCTATATTTCGTAAATCGCGAGTTAATTCAAAAAAAAATGTTAAAATTTTTTGAAAACTTTTGTTGTTTATGGTGCAAAAAGTCCAATTTTTTAAACTACAAAGACTTTGCATCCAAAAATAGAATCAAAAAATACATTATTTAATAACTCTAGTTAAACTCCACAATTTAATGTATTTTTTTTTACCATAATTAATAATAATATATTTTGCGGGTAATGTTAAAAAAGGTGTTTTTTATTATCGCTATTTTCGAAACTTCGGATAATCATGTGATGGACATAGCTTTAGACATCCCCAATTAGTGCATTTGAAAAATGTTTTTTTGTTATTATAAATAATGCTTTTAAGATTATCTTTATAAAAGACAAATCAAAATTTAAATTTGTGGACGTTTTATTTCAGAAAAATTTACATAGTTTTATTAGCATAACGTCTCATATTATATTACTATTATATTCTAATAGAACTTATTAAAAAAAAAATATCTGAAAGATTTACATAAAAAAAAGCAATTGCCCTGAACTAACGATCTTTAAAATGCAATAATATCAAACGATCCATCTTTGTAAAATTTAAAAATATAAAGAGATTCACATTTGTGTATTAGATCGCGGGAGGATTCAACCTCGTTTCATTTCTTTTATATTTTATTATATTGACCTCTATATTTTTACCAATAAATTTCATTCTTCGTCATTGGCAGAGTTATGTCTTCCGGCTCCTTAAAGTTAAAAAGATATGAGAGTGATTGACATTACCAAATAAAGAATTAAAATAGAATTACCAGCTGATCATGTTCTAATACTAACTGGAGTTAGCTCCATTCTTACAAGCTTATATTTATAGTAAGCTAGAAGTTCAAAGATAAAGTTTTAATATATTGAAATTTTGTAAATATTCTAAGTGATTATAAATATCTAAAATTTCATCTTTTTCAAATGGTTCACCGGCTTCTTCTCACTCTTTCAATGCAGTTATATTAATAGCTTTTTTGGCCCACTCTTCAAAACACTCTTTCTGTAGCTAAATTAATTTTAAATAGGAATTCACGAAGAGGACTTTGTAATTTAACGAGGGGAAAACTGCTACTTGAAGTTTTCTCCTGCTAATATTTTTATTTTATTATTATATTATTAGCTTATTAACACTATATTTATATTATTAGTTATCTGTTATTTATTATACAGTATTTATAATTTATTAGTATTATTTTAGTATATTATTATTTATTTATTATTTATCGTAGTACGTATATAGATATTATATTTATTAATTTATTCTCATTTCGGTGCTTTATTCACTCTCAAGAATTTTTTTTTTCTTGAGGGATATAAAGTTCTCAGCAGAAATAAGAACGTTTCATGCCAAAAAATAATTAGATTTATCCAATTTGGATAAAATTCCTATCAGATCAGATAATGTCTTTTTTTTTTTAAAGATTGGACGCGGGAATTTCGTTTCAAATAACAAAAATACCAATTTTAATAATTCCCATGAAAAAAATTATGATTACTTCACATAGTGAAAATTTAAACTTTACTTAAAAACGATCGAAATTTATTATTTTTTTTTTTTTAGAAATAATTTCGGTCTATCATTTGGATCGATCACATCGTACAGAGTCTATACCCAGGCCAGGGTATGGTAAATTAATGTGGATAATAGCAAAATAGAACTTAAAATATATGATACATTTGAAATATAACTCTTGTAAACAACTAACAATTTAATTTGAGCGAATTGTGTTTGTAAAAAAAAAAAATTATTATTAATATAAATACTTGTATTGAAGCTTATACCAATACTGATACCTTTTAACGATCTAACGAATAAAAAAAAAAATACATTAAGCAATAATTATATTATTTTTGGGAGATTAATATTTATTTATTATAATCAAAAATCTCAATTACAAGCTTATTCATTCATAAAAAATGAAATAATAAAAATACATAAAACCACAACAATAATAAAATTTATTAAATATAATTTAAGGCACATGTGTATTAATTGGTTTAGAAACGACTAAAATAAAGATAAAAATATAATTCGGATAATTAATCGTAATATATTTTGAGAGAATTACTTGCCAACACTTAAAATGGAAACAGATTTGGTTATTTCTTCGAGTTCTTTTTCAAAATTTTCTTCATTCTTACATTTTAGAAGATTTGAATAATTAAGAAGTCTACTAGTATAAATTGCTTCCTGATGTGTCGGATAATTAAATGCAGTTGTGCTTGTCGAATTACTCCTAATCAACCTCCATAATCCCCTTCTTAACTTATTCTTAGAAAATTTTTCTGCATTAAAAATTTGAATCGTAATTTCATTATCATTTTTAAAATTATTTTCCAAGTAATTACTAATGTATATACACAACTCTGTTTATAATTCTTTAAAAGTGGGTCGATGCGTAATTCGAGCATCCCAACATTTCATGATTATTCCTGTAATGAATTTTGGAGTATTAAATGGAATTATTGGTCGTAATCCATTGCATATTTGTCTGGCTTGTTCCCTATAATGTGGCATATCGTAATATGGAGAAATTATATCATAAGCTATAATTCCAAAAGAATATACATCAGCAGCCTTTGTATATTCTTCTCCGCATAAAACTTCTGGAGCAATATTTTTAATTATTTTCATATAAAATGATATAATAAAGTTAATAAATAAATTACATTTTGGCTGCACTTAAAGATAGTAAATAATATAAATATTAACTAATAAATCCCTGATTTTATGTTTTATTCTACGTTTTATTTTATTTTATTTTTTTATCTTTTATTACATTTTTATTATTTGTGAAATAAAAAAAAATTTAATAGTATAGGATATATACGTGTGTGAAATATATAATATATATAAAAAATATTTCACATAATCATAATTTCAATCAATGAATCAATGCATTCTAGTTAATTCTTCCACCAATTTTCTAATCTCATTAACTGATAAATCACAACTATCACCTATGTCCCCAATAACTTTGGTTGGATTATCTAATAATGATTCTATCACGTCACCGTCAATAAAATTTCGTAATTCCGCCTTTTCACATTCTTCATCTATTACACTTCGCCAACTATTTAATTGATATTTATAAATAGAATGTTAGATATAATAATATTACACAACAATATACAACAATAAATATAAAAATACAACACTTACGAATAAATATCCAAACCACCATAAAATCCCACAACCTTTTGATACGCATCTTGTAATTTTTTTAATTTATCAAATTGTTTTTGACTGATAGGAATTATAATTCCAATTGCACCAGAAGATGTAACGAATAATACTCGAGATTCTATATTTATTATTGGTTCTGATACATTTGCTGCCAATGAACCTAAATAAATATTAAATAAATATTAAATAATTATTAAATAATTATTAAATAAATATTAAATCTTAAATAATTATTAAATAAATATTAAATAGATATTAATAATAATAGAGATAAATGTTTACCATGTCTAAATCGATTAATAGAATCCCCATAATTATAAATTCCCACCATATCCAATTTCTCTTTTAACAAAACATCCGAAGTATCAACATTTCTTCGAAATGTTAGAATTGAATTATTTTGAGATTCACAACAAATGAATTCATCATCATTTAATGTTTCGATAGCATTGATCCATCGATCATTTAAATCTTGAGTAACAAATTCTAAAGTTTTTCCACCACCACCTCCACCAGTTTCTTTATACGCCAATAAAACTATTGATCTCATTATATCTCCTACCAAAATGAAATGACCTCTTGTCACTATTTGGATGGCTAACGTGAATCCATTGTATTCACATATTGGAATTAAATCACGTTTGCCATCTTCTAATCTTATAAAGTCAAATATTGAAACCTAAAATTGAAGAATTAAAAAATTAATTAATTAATTATTATTATCACAAACCAAAATAAAAGAGAGAATAAATACCTTTCCATCAATTCCAATCAATAACTTTTCATCAAAAGCTAATGCAGAATAAACGGAACCTAAAACTTCTTTTTGATAAACTAATTTAATTTTATAATTAATTCCTTCCTTTTCTACTTGAAATATTAATATTCTACCCGGATCTGGTTCATCCAATTGACTTTTATGCTTGGTATTATTGATGTTGTTATTACTACTACTATTACCATTACTATTATTATTATTATTGTTGTTGTTGTTGTTGTTGTTATTGTTATTATTATTATTATTATTACTGCTCCCATTATTATTGTTGTTGTTGTTATTATTGTTATTGTTGTAATTGGAAGTAGCAGTGGAATTAGTGGTGGTATAAGTTAAATGACCAGTTCCTGCCACAAAATATTCAGTCTTATCACTAAATGTTACTGAACATATTGATAATATTGTTTCACCAGGTTGTAATTCGAAATAATCATAAACTATATAATAATAATAATCATAAATATAATTATAAATATAATCAACAATATAATAAATAGAATAATAAAATAATAATAATAATAATAATAATAATAATAATAATAATAATAATAATAATAATAATAATAATAATAAT